CTTTAATTGTGGGTAATATATTGTTTTCTCTTGTAATTTTGTAGTGGTTCATGCTTGTACAAGATGATTTTGGAACAGACCATTCTTACATAGGGAAAAAATAAGGAATGGAATACATTTATACTGCATTTGCTTGCAAATGTTGGCTTTCTTTCTTTCTAGTAAGGATGACCGTTTTTTCTAGCTGCTCAATTTACATAGCATGCCTATTTATTGCTAGCTAATTTTATCGTGACATGGTAGAAATGATGAGCTTGTTTTTTTTATCTTCTTCCAGACAAAAACGATACAAAGAAAGGAAAGAAGTGGTGGAGAAGAGCCTCTAAAAAGGAGAGTGAGGGGAAGAATAGTGACAGTAACAGTGGTGAGTAGAATTCCATTAAATTATGAGGTGTACACAGCTACAGTAGGGGGCTAGACCAGTAGGTAATAGTGTGGTTTCAAATTTTTTTTTCAAGTGCTGAGTGCTTCTACATGCAGCTTGTGCTATTCTTGAAGTCTTTGGTATGACCCAGCTAGGGTTTGAACCCCCAACCACTGAAATACGAGGTGAATACTATACCAACTAGGCCAATAGGTGGAAATCATTTACAATCATTCAATTGTCTTTTTGTAAGTTAGTAAACATTACATGGTATATTCACCATATCCAAACATTTGCACTATTGATAACATTTTTTTTACTATTACCAAAGTACATTGATCTGACTTGTTTCTGACATTACAGAGGCTGAGTCAAGAAATAAATGGTGGAAGATTTTCAGAAAGAAGCAGTCACAAGGTGAGACTTAACTTCTATGACACCAGCACAAGTATTCAATAGTACTCACCATGGCAAGGTACATGTTATTGGTGTAATGTATTAGTATTTACAGTAGGTGTGTTGGTGTTACGTCGAACAGAATGTTTTTGAAATGGCAGCTTCTCTTTGAATAAAACCCGTAGAGACGCCTATATATGATGCTGTAAAGACTTCGCACACATGAATAATAGGATAAGTGCCTGAGTGATGTTCATGTTGCTTTTGCAGAGAAAGGACATGGAAAGCAAGAAGAGAAAATCACTACAGATTCGAGAACAAAATGGTGGAAGAGGGGCAGCAAGAGTGAGAAGACTCAGGATGGAATGGATGATAAGACAAATGGTTAGTTGTATTAACGTAATATTTTTCATACTGACATCAGGTATAATTGATGTCAAACACTTTCCATCAAACTATTTTATTAGAAGTAGAGTTGTATTGTGCACCAGTGTCCTGTATGTTTGTGTGGATGGTGTGTTCAGCACCCAGGACAGGTTTGTGTACAGATTTGTGTTGTGTACCAGTGTCCTGTATGTTTCTGTAGATGGTGTGTTCAGCACCAGAACAAGATTGTATACAGATTGTGCTGTGCACCAGTACCCTGTATGTGTAGATGGTGTGTTCAGCACCCAGGACAGGTCTGTGCACAGATTGTGTTGTGCACCAGTACCCTGTATGTTTGTGTGGATGGTGTGTTCAGCACCAAGGACAGGTCTGTGCACAGATTGTGTTGTGCACCAGTACCCTGTATGTGTAGATGGTGTGTTCAGCACCAAGGACAGGTCTGTGCACAGATTGTGTTGTGCACCAGTACCCTGTATGTGCAGATGGTGTGTTCAGCACCAAGGACAGGTCTGTGCACAGATTGTGTTGTGCCAAGGACAGGTCTGTGCACAGATTGTGTTGTGCACCAGTGCCCTGTATGTTTGGGTGGATGGTGTGTTCAGCACCAAGAACAGGTGTGTGTACAGATTGTGTTGTGCACCAGTGCCCTGTATGTTGGTAGATGGTGTGTTCAGCACCAAGGACAGGTCTGAGTACAGATTGTGTTGTGTACCAGTGCCCTGTATGTTTGTGTAGATGGTGTGCTCAGCACCAAGGACAGGTCTGAGTACAGATTGTGTTGTGTACCAGTGCTCTGTATGTTTGTGTGGATGGTGTGTTCAGCACACAGGTCGTGTTTTAGTGCAGATTGTTTAGTGCACTAGAGTCCTGTATGTTTGTTTTGGATTTTGTATTCAGCACTATGGACAGTTGTGTTATCTTCTAAATCAACTTTAGTAGCAACTTTAGTAGCAAACTTGGTTCTAACTTGCCTTACCTGTGGCAAAAGAACTTCAGTCTTGGACAATGTGACAACCTAACGTCTTAAACATTCTTAATTTCATTCTTTTACAGGCAAGAGCAGAGGACGGTGCATCTGTATGTGAAGAAGATGCCTACACTACATCTTGAGATAGACAGCAGTTATTCAAGATGTGTTCAAGTAGTCTTAGAAGACAACTTGAGTCAGCTTTTATGATGGTTACTTTCTGTACTGTGTAGATGAGACTATTTTATTTATTTCTTATTTATTCGGGAGCAACAGCACACACTCTTAAAGACACATGGACATGGTGCTTTTAACTGTAAATACTCTGATATTGTGTCATATACCTTGTTCCTTCCATGCAGTTATATTATTAGGGACAGGTAGCAAATACACAGACAAATGATGGAAACAGCATATATCTTGACTACCGATTTAATGTCGTATTGGAAGGATTTTACTTCAATACCTGAAAGGATTTTAACACCAAAACAGCTAATGCAAAATATATCTATTTTTGTATGCTTTTTAAGAATTTTAAAAACAAAGCAATATTTATATGTCCTTGAAGGATGATGATGGTCAAGACTTTTATACTGCAAAATGCAGTTCTGATGACACAACATGTCCACCTCAGAATAAAATTTTTATCAAAGGTCCATGCCGTTGTTCTTGTTTATTTCTACTTTTCAAAACTTCTGGGTAACAAAGGCTTGTGCATTGCATATATTTCCAAAATTCCTTTAAAATTAAATGGCAGACCTGGAAATGAAAAAAAAAAAAACAATACCACAACATTGGGTTATTGGCTAACTTATTGCATTCATGAATTAAACACCAATGTACAAATATTATGCCAAGTATCTTGGCAAAGGTTACAGTCAACGCAGTTGATATGATCCAGTGTAGTTAATTCTTTACACCCAGTATAATGTGCCGTGAGCTGTCTTATGTCCACTTTAGCTCATATTTTGTTTTCCTAAACTTCCTCGGGATTGTACCCTTCTACCATTATCTTTGGCAGGCACTTTCAAAGGACTCAACCTCTCTTTCCCCCTACTTCTCTCAGCAGCAGTTTTGTCGGATGCAACATTGTCCATACTACTGGAGGATGTTAGTGTTGTTATCGAGGACTTTCTCATTTGTGCTGAGTTCTGTCTTCCTGTAGTTGTGTCAGCCGTCCTTGAATTTACCCGGCCAGTAGGCCTGCTGACACTGAGTCTAGATTCAGAGTTTGATTTGCTCATTTTTGTCTTTACTGGCTCAGAGTCTTTCCCGTCGCCTTTATTGCTGTTTTGGGCTGTAGACGGAGGCTCCTGATTGGTCCTCGCCTGTTTGAGAAAGTCTGTTGCCTCGGTAACCTTCTGTCTGTGCTGTTGCAAGGAGGACTCCAGGTCAGCTGCTGTTCTGCTGTGCTGGACAGCACATTCCTGCTGTACCTGCTGCAGAGCTGTGACCAGCTGTGCCTGGAACCCGCTCAGGGCTATAGAACCTGGTCCAAGAGTCAGGCATAAAACATGTAACAAACATATATAACTTTTTATTCTATATGACAGGTTTTCATAATTCTTACATCGTCATAGTACTCTTAAAGTGATTTTAGATGTCTTACGTACCACTATTTTGAGTAATTTTAGGTTCCTAGGTGTTTTAACAAATACAGTGAATGTTTTCTATTCTTAGATGTTCCACTGACAGTATGTATTTTGTAAATAGCCATGCAATTCAGCCATCTGACTGCAACATGCTTCTTTGTGCAATAAACCAAACCTAAAGCAAAGAGTACATGTAAAATAAACTCTCATAATTCCACCAGGTATACTAGTAGTAAGACAGTGGATTTAAAGGCATATGTTATTAGCATTTTATTTAGTAATCCCCCAAAGTCTGCACACTTCAGATATCCAGGTGTTCAAGATATCCTTGAGAGAGTCTTGATAACTGTTTTTTTATGTGTCAGTCATGCATGGGGCACCCAGTAGAATTAACACTGACAATAGAAAATAATTAAATGAACAGACAAAGGTAAATCATTGAATACCGCACATACACAAACAGATTTCACCTGTGTTGTCATCCTCTCCATTTTGCTCCCTCAGTGATTCAGCTATAGACTCCAGCTAGAAGGCAAAAAATACTGGTTCAAAGATTCCCATCATAAAATTGTGTCTTACCGATAATATCTATACATGGCAAATAGTTAACACTGTGTTGTTATATCTAGGTTTGTTATGAAAAGAATGTAATTCTTTACAGCTGTTCAGGGTTAATGTTGACGTAAAAACTTTCACTTAGCTATCTACATGTAACAGTGACTGATACCCACCTGATCTGCATGTTCTTTGAAGGTCTTTAAAAAGTCCCTGAGTGCACTTTCAGAGGCTGTGTCCCTGAGTTCCCTGTATGACTCCAAAATACCTTCAAAGAAAAGCAACACAAAGACAAAGTATATTACAGGTGGCTTGTTTGATGCAGGATTGGAAGAAAAGTGATGATGAAAATCAATTTATCGTAAATATCTACACAAAATCTAAAAGTGATCTGATGAGTACAGTTAATACAACACTGAAGTGCATCGGTACACTCATGTTTTTGGACTTGAACCGAAACGTTAAATTATAGTTCTGATGATTAGATCTGTCCAATGTACTGGTACACACCACTTACTATATTTCCAATCAATTCATGTCTCTCTTCAGTGGTCAACCCCCAAAAAAGGCTAGGGTCAAGGGTTTTTTGCTAGGGCCGGTCGGGTAACAGGAAACACATTTTCCCTAGGTCCTAACATATGATACACTTGTACAGTTAACATTACAATGTGTGGAAGTTTTCTTCACCTTGCAGTGGGCTACTGATTCCCTGTAGGACGTCCTGTTGGAATGAGTTGTAAGCCTGAGTGAGGGCCTGCACCAGGGTGGTGGTGTACTTTATCTGTAAGTTCTGCACCTGTCTGAAATGAGTCAACTCCTCTTCCAGGGCTGCTATCTGTAGGTGTGAACATGATAGTACATTTACATGAAGTACTGGATATTGGGATTTTCTTTTTCACCACAAGTAATGTCTCTCCTTGGTTACGTTTCGGGGTGTGATAAAAGAGCGACTGATGTTGAGATATACATTCTGATCACTAAGACATACCTGCATAGCTGTCATGTGTTTGGAATAACCCACAGCTACCATCAAACTTTCCACAGTCTTCTTTACCTGTATGCATAATAGACACATGTACCATTAATTATGACTTGTTGTTTTTTGTCCTTAGTACAAATAATGATAAATTGAGTACTGCTACTACAGATCTACATTGACGACAAAATCTTCTTGAGCTCAGATGATCGGTAAATTCTGTACCTCATATTGCTTACTGCGTGGCATGCTGGGAAGACTTGCCATGACATCATCCACAGAGAAGTGCATGCTGGGTAACCGTCTGACTGCAGACTGAAACAACAAATGTCAATTCTATGGTTGTGAACCAATTGCATCATTTCCATTTGTCTTTTTTTGAAAACTTTCATTTGCATGATGCATGTAGGGCCATGAACACAGTACTTTCAACCAGGCCACGTAGCTTCCCTTTCATTATCTTCACTGAAGGAAAACATGTTGTTTTTGCTCAGTTTCATCTTCTTCCCTTCCAAACAAATAAAGTCAACGACCTAGACCAGATGTCTGTCACCATGGTAGCTGGTGCTGTAGCAGACACCCAGTGGTATTGGGTTTCATCATAACATGACAGAGTTGGAGAGCCTGCTCAGTTCTCACCATACATAAGAATGTATTTGACTTTGAGTAATGATAAACAGTCCAGGAGTTTGTTGAGCTAGACATTGTGCATTTTGCTTTGCAAATCTTACCTTAAAGTTTCAGAGGTTAAAGAAACAGTCACCTAATACAAATAAAACCATTTGCTAGTAAAACTAACCCAAGGAGCAGCAGGCACCAGCAGGCTGAGGTGCATCAGGTCTTGACAGCACTGGTGCAGCAGCTTGTCCAGGTCTGCAGCCTGTGCTGTCAGCCTGTCGTATAGCATGCTGTCCGTCTGGTAGAACAGCGGGACAGGCTGGTGGCTCCTGATGCTGTCCATGCACTGCTGCAATCTCAGCAGCTTCTTGAACAGTTGAGACAGCTGGGACTCCAGGGAGGCCTATGGAAAGGTAAGAAGGTATTTGCAGGGCCCAAAATACTTTTTTAGCATATCTGCACAGCAGGTAAACATTGATTTGGTAGATTGAAACTGCTAATTTTTAAAAGCTGAAAAGTATGACAACCAAAAAGCAACTAGTATACATGTACATGACATTGTATGTCTGACCAATGAAACTACATTGTACTGTTCTGCTTTCTCTTACCACATGTTTGAGGTTGAGATGTCTGATGTCACCACTGCAGATGTCCAATAGGGAGACACCTTCTATACTGCCTTTAACAGCAGCACTCTTCAGCAAGGATGATTGGCCAACACTGTCACAGGCAAACCCAGTCTGGTGGGGGCAGATAGTGATTATAATATTTGTAATAAGTTAAATGAAGACATTTACATTTATATCATGACAACACTCCTTCCCTGACAACTTTCAGTGAATAAGGTAGTACATATCTCTCTTTATAAAGCCCTTTGGTCACACAGTTGTAAAAGCACTACTGCCATTCTCTTTCCATCAGTTAATGCAAAAATTGCTAAGCAGAGAAGACACTATCATCATCAGTCAGCTGCAGATCAAAAGCAGTTTACATCATCTTGTTGGTAAAACATACAACTGCAGCATATTGGGGTTTTCTTTCTAGTACACAACCAGTTAGTACACAACTCTCACCTGCTTACATCAGCTACATATAGCAGTGAGAAACAGAACTCCAATCAGAAGGAAGGTGTCTGATAGACACAAAAACATAAGCAGGTGAGAGTAAATATTACAGGTTGTGTAAAAAGAACTTAAAGTACTTAAAGTGACCTGACTGGAGTTTGAACCTGTGCAAGGAAGACAAAAAAAACAAACAAAGGGATGTCATACAAGTACGAGGCATTTTATTTACCTTTCCCTGTTTCTTCAGCCTTGTTTTAGCTCCCATGACAGTGTGTATAAGGTGGGTGAGCTGGGCACGCTGTATGGACACTGTCGGACCTGGAGACTCACAGGCAACCCACTCCCTGAGAAAGGAAAGGAGAGATTGAACTTTAGGCCACACCAATTTAATAACCTGGTTCTCTGATTTGCCCGCTTCATTTTTTTCTGTTTCACAAAGATCTTTTATGTTTTGATTTCTGTTCATAAAACCGCAACTGTAAAACGCTGTGTACATATAAAGGCTAACCCCCTGATAAAAATGAGTAAAACGAGTTGATGGAAAGTTCTTCATGATCAAGGTCACCAACCTGAGTGCTGTGACTACTGTATCAAGAGCAGAATCAGCCTCCACCATGGCATCTTTGTGGGAGCTCACAGCACCTGTCAGCTGAACTATCTGTTAGGCAACAAACATAAAAACTATAAATCCCAGCACTGGGACATTCCAGTGCTTTTAGGACATGAGCACCGGAAGCCCGAGCTGAAATGATTTAAGAAAGAGCTCACCAAGAACTGGAAAACCCAGTGCAGATGCCGTTATATATATGATGCCGTTATATAGGTACATTGACAATTGCTTTATCCACTAATGACTGAATTCGAATGACCTCCACCAAATGCTAAGTCTAAACTTTAGCAAGTGCCGAGACAAGATTCAGCTCTGGAATTCCAGTTCTGACGGAGCTTTGAATTCAGCACTGGAAGAAAGCTCCACACAGGAATTCTAGTATGCTGAAAGGCTTTCTTCCACTTCAGGCCCCAAGTGCCGATGCCATTTTTCCCGCGAGTTCCACACTGAGTGCCCAGAGCAGAGCCCGTTACTTCGGTACCCTTGCGCACCTGTCTCTCCAGCTGGATGACATGTGACTTGAGCATGTGGACTCTCCTCTCCTCCCAGTGCTCAGCCCCGCCCTCCTGTACCAGCTGGTCGTACAGACTCCTCAGCTCCTGCAGGTCCTGTCTCAACCGCACATTCTCCTCCTGCAGTTCCTGTCAGGGATTAACCAAAAATTATAGTGGGGAAGGAGATGGAAGAGCTATTATAGAAATTGTGACAAATGAAAAATTAAATGTTGCATCAGGGACTGGAGGTTGAATTTTTAAAGAGCTCCTTGGTTGTATGTTATGTTTATATGTAATGTTACACACATAGTAATCAAGTTCTTCTTAAAAGGCATGGAAAAAATTGTCAAAGAAATCATGAAAAGGGTGAATTCAATATTCTGAGGCGGGAAGGCTGGTGTGTCGAGGGTCCGACCAGATATTTATATTATAAAGGACCTTCCTCGTGTCAAGAACTAATAAAACCCACCCCC